CGTTTAAAATCTCTCTCTCTCTCTCTCTCTCTCTCTCTCCATAATTCCGTATTTTCCCGTCAATTTTCATTTGTCTACCGTAGAAAATTTTCATCTTTCTGTGTAATTCATTTAAATCGGGAATAATAAATACGATCTGTATATTTTAGAATATTATGAACTCTGAGAAGAAAGAAGGGAAATATTAGCTCATCAAATATTTTTTACGCCGATATCTTTTTTCTCAAATTCTCATAGCAATATAATAATATATTTAATGTTCTTACATATGGTATGATCTTATCGTAAAGATCGCACCACAGGGGAACGATTCCGAAAAATAAGAGCGGATTAAAGCTCGACCCACCGTTGACCGAATACTCGTATTTCCTGTAAATCGCGTGGACTTCTCCACAAAGTGGGGCTTGCCCGAAAAGAAGAAACTCCCACATCTTGAAGGTAAAGAACGAGGGCATTTAGCCACAATCCACTGAGAGATCGACTTTCCAGTATCAAATTATTGTTTTTGATATCTCAATCTTCGCGATAAAATCTACGAAGAATCGAAATATTGCAGAATCTGTTTTATTGTCATGCAATTCAATGACAATCGAAATTGAAAAATACATGGAAGGTTAGTGACTAATGATAATTTTTCCGGACATGGTTAGTTTCTCTTCACGTTATTTTCTAGAAATATAGTTATTTATGATACTCTCCATATGAATTTTTCTAAACGTTTGACAACAATAAATCATTGAAAATCTACACAGAAAAACCGATTTTACTAAAATATAATATCTAAAAATGTAGCTAAATATAGATTTGAAAATAATTTATTAGACCATCAAAATAATTATACAAGAAATTCAAACATAATGAGTAATGTCTCTGAAAATTTTTATATTCTTGCAATCAGCTTGAATATATACAATTATTTTATAATTTTATTTAATTCTTTGGTAGTTTAAAAAATTAGATTAGAAATTTTCAGATTTATATATTTTAATTTAGTTAAATGTTTAAATATTTTAGCGTAAAACATTTTTTTCCGTGTAATAATGTTTCTCGAATATTTATGGAATACTCCATATCGTCATGTTAATAAGCGCTATGCAAAATTTAACAAAATATTTACAATATTATCTGTTAAAACCAATTTTATCTGCTACATCCTAATTTTTAATTATACATCTTACAATTTTCAGCTCAGTCTTTTTTTAATTGACTTTCTCTACGATCGACCATTGTTGAAAAAGCTTAACAAGGAATATCATATTAAAACGGAGCAATATTTTACGAAAGCAGAAAAAGAGATTCGTACAGATGAACTTGGAGATATCGAAAGTCCCTGGAAACTCGATAAGAACTTGGAAACTCACGTAGCCGGCCGTCGATCAATTCGTCATCAGAGAAGTTAAAAAATACATTATCGAAGAAGCGCGAAGAGAAAAGAAAAGACGAGAACTACATAGAGATTAGCGATTAACACTTAGCCGATGTTCGCGAATTATTGAAAAAATCACTCGAGCGTAAGGTAGTTCGAGATAAACTTTTCAA